AAAAAAAAACAGAAAACGGGTGAAATTAACTTTAATAACAGTTTATTGACCCTAGTAGAGTCAAAATAGCATTGCAACAAGTTATCAATGTAAGAAATGACAGATTACAAAAATATTTATTGAGGGCAGGTGTCCTCAGTCCTATGCGAGACCCCGCTCGGAAAGCTCACCCCGGCCACCCAGCACCCCTGACGGGCTCGGAGACCCCAGTCCCTCGCCTTCTGCAAACCCTAACCTCCGCGATGCCCCCGGGGCCGCGCAGGGTCCCCAGCCCCGGAGCGCGGCCCGTCCCGCCAGCCTCACATCCAGGAGCACCCACATCTACAGTGAACTGGGCCCTCACCACGGCAGCTCGTAGTGGCCAGCGCTGCCCGCGGCCTTGCTGGGGCCAGGAGCAGCGTCCTGCGGCCCGCGCTCCCCGCCGCTCTCACCACGCATCTGCACCTCCATTCTCGCGCCTTCTCTTCCCGCAGGGGTTACGCACGGTGACGTCATCACGCAAAGCCCCGCCCCCGCAGGGCGTGGGGAGCGAGCAGGAACCTCCCCCTCCCCTCCCCCCGCCTCTTTGCGCCTGCGCAGAAGGTTCTGGTCCGCCTGGGCGCGGCGGTTCCTAAGGGGCAGCTGGCGTCCGGCCCGGGAGGCAGAGGCTGGCGAGACCCTGTCCCGCGCGCTCTGGGAACGGATGTTTGTGTGATTTGTCGGAGACCCTCTCCGCCGCGGCCCTCCAAGGCTGTGCTGGGGAGGGGTTTTCCCAGGACCAGCTGCCTTCGGCGGGCGCCTGAGCTCAGCCGCGCTTGGTACTATCAGGGGATTTGCGCCGTCCTGCAAGAGGGACTGTGCCCCCACCGCCCCTTTTTGCAAAGCAGGAAACTGTCCTCCTGACGGATGTGACAGAGTGCACATTCCAGAAGAGTAGGAACTTCATATTCACAGTGAACGCTCTGCGGGGAGGTTTTTCTGTTCAACTGATCTTGTTTTGTTTGTTTTTGTGTTGTTGGTTTTATTTGTGTTGCAGTGCTGGGAATTGAATCCAGGGCCTTCACACGGAACTACAACCCCAGCCCTTTATTTTTGACTTTCAGAGAGTGTCTTGCTAAATTGCCCAGGCTGGGCAGAAATTTAGGATCCTCCTGCCTCAGCCTCCCAGAATGCTGAGATTACAGGCGTGTGCCAGCACACCTGGCTTTGGTCTTTTCTCTGTACCTTAAGTGTCGTAATAACGATGAACAGTTACTATCACTGGCTGTGCCTTTGCTATGCGGAACTGAGGTGGGTACTCATACTCTCCCTGGGCAGATGAAGAAGCATGCTTGGAAATGATGGGGTGATTTGTCCAATGACATTTAGATTGCAAATGTTGTAGCCAAGATTCATTCCCTAATACATCGTCAAAGCTCTTTATATAAAATTCTGAAGCCGGGCGTGGTGGCGCACGCCTGTAATCCCAGCACTAGGGAGGCTGAGGCAGGAGGATCGTTGCAAGTTGGAGACCAGCCTGGGCTACAAAGTGAGCTCAAGCCTAGCCTGAACTGCATAAGGAGACCCTGCCTCAAAAAAACAAAGACATAAAATTCTGTTTTATTGCCTTTTTTTTTTGAGAGAAGGTCTCACTATGTAGTTCAGAATAGCTCTAAACTCATTGTGTAGGGGCTGGGATATAGCTCAGTGGCATAAGTGCCTGCCTGGCAAGTGCAAGGTCCTGAGTTCGATTCCCGGTACCAAAACAATAAATAAATAAATAAAAATAAACTCACTGTGTAGCCCAGGCTGGCCTTGAACTCTCAGTGATCCTCCTGCCTCAACCTCCCAAGTGCTGGGATTATAGGCTTGTGCTGCCACACCAAGCTTGTTTTATTGCCTTTGGTATACTACACTATATAATTAATTTTAGGGTAAAAATGGGCGCTGGTGGGTCCTGAGGGCGTAGCTCAGTGGGAAAGCACTTCGTTAGCACACTTGAGGCCCTGGATTGGGTCGCCAGCTAGGATGAAATGGGAATTGATGATTGGTGTTCAGATGTGAATTGAAGGCTAGGATTGAGACCTGTCTTTCCCTAGGACTTAGCACAAAGCCTTGAGCACTATCAATGCGCCCATGTTGTAGTACTTCCTTGTTGCTAGGACAAAATACCTGACGCTGGCAACCTAAAGGAGGAGAGGTTTATTTGGGCTGATTGTGTAGAGGGTGCAGTCCATGATAAGCAGCTCCAAGGCAGAAAAAGACTAGAGGAAGGGCCTGGCGGAGGACAGCTGTTCACCTCAAGACAGGCAGGAAACACAGAAGGGAAGAACCAGAGACAAGATCACACCCTTCCAGCCCACCCCCAGTGACCACCACCAACCCAGCCCCGCCTCCCGCTTGACTGGTGATCAACAAGGCCCCATGCTTCCCTAACCATTGGATCAGATGTAAGGAGCTGTGTGGCTTTCGCCCAGGTCACTGATCCCAGCCACCGCATCAGCAAGAATCTGTAGGTACTACAGGCCTGAGAACTTGAAGCAGCTGATTGGTCATCCAAATAAATATGAGCTCTAAAGGCTGGGCGTGGTGGCGCACTCCTGTAATCTCAGCACTGGGAAGGCTGAGGCAGGAGGATCATTGTGAGTTCGAGACCAGCCTGGGCTACAAAGTGAGCTCAAGGCCAGCCTGAACTACATAGCGAGACTCTGTCTCAAAGAGACCAAAAAAAAAAATTAAAAAAAAAAAAATGGGCTCCAGAATCTACATTGCAAGAGATCTTGTACCTATTTTTATCCTTTTAGTTTTTCTTTACCCCCCAAG